AGGCACTGATAATCTCATCACCCATTATCAGTGCAGCATTCACTAGTTAGAATTGATGGAAAGTAAATATCTGAGAAGGATGCCATCCTGACCATCATCCAGCACCAATTCTCACAAAAGTCATTTAGTACACAAGAGTGCATTTTATAGGTTTAGAACAGGGTATTTCATCTCCTCTTTAATGAATGCCTGTGAATGATTCAATGTTTGGGATAAATTAGAACTCCTCACATGCTAAGAAAAAGGCTCCTCACATGCTAAGCTGATTAATATTTATCTAATGATACTCCTTTCAGTTTTGGAATTCAGTATTGGATGGTTACCTTCATAATGCCTATTGAGGTTGTTCCAGGCCAGTCTAAAACTCTATTTATTCTAAAATGGTGAGCTCAGAAGTTGAAATCCTCAGGCTAATTAACTCCACAGTTGAATTTTCCATCAAGGCTGTAAAGACAAGACTTCTCCAGATAGAGCCTAGCCTAGCAGCTTCAAAGAGGCAGGTTTAATCAGGTCTCTAACAAGAGAGAAAAATAGTTATTCCTCTGCCTCAAAACCACATTGGTAAGGCTGTTAAGGTTTCCCAGTATCTGCTATTTATGTTATGTTTTAAATCTGTAATGATCAGAGCCAGACCTTCCCTCATGCTGCCTCAACAGCAAAATGAAACAACTGCTCAGGCAGCAAATGCTGGGGTTGAGTAAGGGTGTGTGCAGACGGGTGTCTCTGGGCTGCCCCAGGAAGCAGTGGATCAAGGCCGTGGCTACCCCATGCCATGGCCCCGATCCTCCCTTTTGTCGATCCTTTCAGGGGTGGCAAAAGGCTGCCCTAAGAGCCAGTGTGCGGCTCTTCGGCCTTTCCGGTACAGTGTGTCAGAATGTACTGGAAGGGCATTCTGACGTCGTGCAGCATGTGTAATGGCGCGCGCCGTCAGGATGGCATTGGCGTGGGGTTGGGGCAGCTGGCGCATGGCTGCCCCACCCCAACTGTGCCTCCAGGCCGGCCCCTTGGGCCGGTCTGCAGAGGCTCTTAGAGAGGCAGGCTCCTGGGTGTTCCTTAAGAACTTCTCAGCTGTTTCACTTTGCTGGAGGGCAGAACTAGCTAAACTACACACCCTGTCTTGTGCTCCCCTAACTGCTCAAAAAAGCCTGCTATCTTTAGTGTTAAATCATAACATATTAAACTTTGTATGTCCTTGGTCCACATATTCTCCCAATCCATAAATGCATGTTATGCCCAACATTCCTTGACCACCAAGCATTCCTTGATTTGCTCATCTTCTGTGTTACATTTCAACAACAGTGTATAAATTTTCACAATCAGATGTTTTTCTTCCTTCTCTGAGTAACTTTCAAATTCATTCTTTATTGCCTTAAAATTCCATCTCCTCTTATCTGACCTAAACCTTTCTGATATTTGTAGCTAGGGAAACTATTGTATAGCAAAAACTTCTTCCTCCAATTGCTTTCTCTCCTTTAACCTAAAATCTCCATTTTCTTTACTCAGCAAATCCATATATGCTAGCCATGTATCTGGACTTCCTAAATTTCTTATGGAAAAAGCTTCCAAAGGTGATATCCACATAATGATTTTAGAACATAATATCTTTAGATTTATGCCACACTTTTAGCAAAGCTTTCCTGACCACATAATTGTTGAAGGACAGTTGCACTTTGAGCTTGTTATACCAGGGCTGGCCCAACTGTTAACACACTTAACTGTTCAAAATATATACACTGATTAAGATATTTAAAAGCCAAACTCATCTATTAACAAAATGTAATCTAATTTAGGGAGAAAAGTTGAAGGAAACAGAAGATTGAGTGAAGAAGGGAAGAATAAAAAGAAATTTAGGAACAAGATACTTTTGTGGAATTGCATATATATTTTAAAGGCATGCAGATATACAAACAGAACAAGCAATTAAGAGGAAGCAAATGGAGGCAAACTGAGATTTTTTTAGAGTGAAAAGGCAGACAGGATTGGTAGGATATTCAAAGGCATAGCTAGTGAGAATGTATATCTAGTCTAAGGGCTCATTCCCACTACAAAATAACATGGACCAAATCTCTCTGGGCCATTTAGTCCCCTCTTCCTCCCCTTTGTCATTCACACTTGAGGCGAAGAGAGGAAGACTAGCTGCCATGGAGGAGGAGGAGAGGAGGAAAGAAAAGGCAAACTCCTTCTGAACAAACCTTGCCAAGAAAACCACATGACAGACTTCAGGCACACAACAACAATAGAGGAGGGGTGGTGGCATGGCAGGAAGGCTTGTATGAGGGAGAGTGCAGGCTTATGGAGAAGTCCTTCACTACTACTTCTTCTTCTTCCTCCTCTTCCTCCTCCTCTTCCTCCTCCTCCTCCTTTTCTCCCCTCATGGAACCTTCGACAGCCCTCAGTGAAGGCATAAAAGGAGCAGCGGCAACAGCAACCTCCTCCTCTTCCTCCTCTATATCTTGCTCAGGGTCACCCAGTGAGTTTCCATGGCTGAGCTGGGAAAGGCAAAGGAAGGAAAGGAAGGTGAAGCCACACTCCAAGGACTTGATTGAGGCTCCTGGTGTGCCTTGGCTCTCTCTCCAAGGAGGAAAGCCTCCTAAATCCCTCCTTGCTGAGGGGAGGAAGGAAGGATGGACTGTCCTACCTGCCAGCCTTGGCTGAGCCCAAAGCAGCACCAAATCACCAGGGCTGGCTGAGAGCAGCCGGCAAGAGCCTCTATACCCCCTGATGCAAATCTGACCCATCATTCCCACTTATTGAACATGGTTCAGATTTAGGAATTTTCAAAAGAACCACCCAAAAACTAGTGTCAGGAAAGAGCGGTTCTTCTGTGTTTGCCTTGCTTCATCATGATTTAAACTGAGCACAGTAGGAGCAGAATCAGTTTCAAGTGAGAATGGCGATCATGTAACCTGACCAGCAATTTGGGTTAAATCCTAGTGGGAACAAGGCCTAAAAATATTTGTATTGAGGTCATCCCACTGGGAAAGGTCTGCCTTCAGAAGTAAAAAGGAAAATTGATTTCAGTAAATACCACGTCATTGTAAAACTGAATCAGAATTGCTCCTCCCTTCCAGCAGAGCTCAATCTGTGAATGGGACCTCAGCAGTAAAATAAAGGGAAGTAAATAAAAACTACAATTGGATGTCAAACTGTTCCTTCATTTTTTTTTCAAAGAAGAAGAAGAAGAAATATCCAAGTGTACCCCTGACAGTGTGTCCTTTTATAAAGTAAAGAAGTACAAAGTCATTTTCTAAAACTTTTCAGTCTGCTTTTAAAAAAACAAAACAAAACAAAAACCTCAGTCTGAGTAATCTTACAGGAAAGATGCAAACTGGAGCTTTAAAAGGTCTGAAGTCCTTGTCTGGCCACTAATTTTACATAAACTTTGTATTAAAATTCAGGAAGCCCTCAAAGGCCAGGGACAAACAGGTCAAATAGACCAGCACAAGGCTGTGCTGGTGCAATTCACGCCAGGACCACAGCAACCATGCACACCCAGTTCTGATCTGGATCACCACCACCATTCTCAACTGGGATGCTGGAAGGAGTGGATTCTTGGCTCAGGTCCTTCCGTGTGATGCAGGCTCGGGGCAGCTTCTAGCCACATTCAGGACATGCATCATCTAAAAATTATGCCCCAAATGTGGCCAAAATCTGTGTCATTTGGCCTGTGCCTTTTGGGCCAAAGTCAATTTCAGGAAAAAAATGAGTGCAATATTAAAATAAAGACAAATAAGTAAAATCATATAGCATTTCCAGATGAGACTAGCATTCCTTTGTCTTTGAAAAAAGGATCTATTGACAATGGTTATAACTGGCACAATTGTCACATCACAGCACTCAGATTGGCAATACGCTTTTTCAACAACCTTGTAGCAAAAGCCAGATTGGAAAACTATGGCTATACAGTTTGTGCAGGGTGCTTTGTTTATATAAACAATCATTAAATAATAGGTGAATGATGTAGCTTTAAATTTTCAACTTATAAGAAACTTCCCAAACACATTATAGTCATCCTTTTTAACAAAAATGTCTCAATTTCCTCTAAATACATTTATTAGAAATACAGGTCTCTAGGCTCAAAAAAAAAAGTTTAGAAGAAAAAAGGGAAAGAAGCACAAAGAGTTTCTATTAAATTCTGTCAATATTTTTTCCCCTTTTCTTCAATTTTTATCCCAACTCCTCCTCTTCCCCCCCCCAAAATATTTTGTATGTTATAACCAAAAGTTCTAGATCATTCTCTTACGCTTTTGTTTTCTTCTTCTTTTTATTAAAAAAATCCATCCATATTTCTTGTTCTTTTTCATATTTTTATATTATCCATAATATTTTCCCATTCTTTTTCTATTTTTTTCCTTTGGTTTTCCTCTTAAAATTGCCACCAGCATGTCCATATCAATAGTTTCTCTTAAATTTAAAATCCATTCCTCAATTGCTGGTGCGACATTTTTCTTCCAGTATTTTACAAATAGTATTCTTGCTATAGTCACCATATATAATACAATTCTCATATTCTTCTTCTCTTTAATATCATAGGTCATGTTCAGTGAGAATAATTGTAGTGTGAAAGGTATATCTGTTTGTAATATCTCTATCATTTTATTATGTATCATTTTCTGTTTGTTTTTTCTTCACATTTCCATTAAACGGGAAAGAATGTTCCATGAGCTTCTTGACATTTCTAACGCTTGATTTTTCCTGTTTTACTTATGGCATTGATTTAGCTGGTGATAAGTACCAATGGTACATCATCTTTGTACAGTTCTCTTTATAATTTTGACATAAGGTAAACTTATTTGTTGTCTTCCAAGTCATTTCCCAGTATTTAAGTTGAATATTTTTCCCGATGTCTTGCAACCATCTTATCATTACATGTTAGACCATTTCATGTTCTCTATCTTTTTCTTTCAGAATTTTTATAATATTTTGATATTTGTTTTGATATTAGGGTTTTCTAAGACTGAGAGTGTGTGAATTGTCCACGGTCACTCAGTGGGTTTCCATGGCCAAGTAGGGATCTGAACCCTGGTCTCCTGAGTCATAATCCAATGCTCAGACCACTGTGCCACTGGCTCCTTCACAGTTATTTGGTGCTCTAAACTGAAGACATAATGTTCAGCATTCACACAGCTGTATTCTTTTATATTATCTCATGCCAGTGAGACACAGCTAAGCCTTCATGTGTGTCTTTTGATATATGCAAATCTGCCTGGACTGGTACACTTGCCAGAAGGCTGCTGTGCTGAATAAATATAATGTCTCTTTATCTGGGGGATTCCTCAGGTATGCAAATCCTCTTCATCTGACATTAATCGGCAGTGCATTGGACTTAGGCCTAAATATAATAATGGATTCCATTCACTTGTACATTTGCCATTGCTGCTGGCCTTCAGGGAATTAACTTTCTTCTGTAGCAGTTTTGGTTGCACTACCACTAGTGCAATAAAATCAGGATCAGACAGTTCCTGTGGCACCCAGATTATCTAGTAAAGAAAGTTCATTTACAATAGCTCAGGAAATTGCTGCTGCTCCCTTATGCATTCATTCAAAGGAGTAAAGGAGCTTTCCCCAGAGACAGCTTCTTTGTCTGATATATACAATAGCTTGTGTAAGATATCTTTTCATAGAGGTTAGAAAGTTACTTTTAAAAAGTAATTACTGTTGCAATTGTTATTATTATTTTATTCATTTACATCCTGTCATTTCCCCAAGGTGACACAAGGTGGCTTATAGATTATTAAAATCAGAAAAGATTAAAAACAGAAAAACATCAGTGAAATATATGTAAAAAGTTTTTTTGGGGCAATCAAATAATCTCTATAATTAAAAATATTTCAAATTGCATTGACAGGATATAAAATAATGACAAAACAATGCATAATTAAAGACCCACTTTGGTCAATTTCTAATTAACTGTTGGAAAAGGAACATTTTAACTTGTCAGTGGAAGGAGAGCAAGAAACGAACCATCTCAGCAGCCATAGGGAGGTTTTTCCAAAGTCTGTGACCAGCTGCAAAGTAAGCCATCTCCCTTAATCCCTTAATCAAGTATTAAGTACAACAAATCAGTAAGAAATCAGGCCATAAAAAGTAACATTTAAAATTTCAAGATTGATAAATTAAAGGAATGCACACTTGCATAGAATGGTTGTTGCCATCCATCTAATGGGGCCAGTGAGAGAGCCAAGCACATCTCTCTAGGTCTGCTGTAGTGGCCCTAGTGGAGCAGTGGTTAAATGCCTGTACTGTAGCCACAAGTTTGTGAGTTCGATCCTAGGCAGGGCTCCAAGTTCCACTCAGTCTTGCATCCTTCTGTAGGGCACCAAAATGAGTACCCAGTTTGTTAGGGGAAATTAGCTTACATACTGTAAACAATTTAAGTAGTGGTAAGTTCACTGATAAGTGGTATAGAAATGTACTTGCTATTGCTATTGCTATTGCTGTTCTATGATTCATACACCTTAGTTGAGAACAGGGAATGTCCAATGCATGTTGCTGCCTCATTATGGAGGCTGTCCCTTCCAAGTTCCATCCCAGGACCCCAAACAGAAAGAAAATATATAGGTTCCCAATTGTTAACATTTTCCAGTGGTTTCCAAGAGTTTCATATGAAAGGACATAACTGCACAAAGGCCCCTTACTGTCACACCACCACAATCCTTGGGCTCTGGAGACAAAGTTGAGCCTGCAGTGGCACCTGGTGGCTCTGAAGTCATCAAGGTGACAAATTTGCACCTGAGTTTAGTCTAAACTTTAAATCAACTATTACCGGTTTTGCAACCTAATTTAACTAGGGGTGGAAAGAATATTAGAAAAAAACTAAATTGTTGAAAAGCATGCTTGTAGAGTGTCAAGAATTCCTGACAGAAAAATCCTGGACTATCAAGAATCTTCAGACTTATTCTGTACATAATTCATATATGGCTGCTTTATGCCGAAAACAGCATATTTTGCACAGGAAAAAGCATTTTCTGGGCTGAAACTATTATTTTTGAAATATTATTTTCTGTGCTAGAAATTGTGTTTCTGGCACAGAAAATTCTGTAATATGGGACTCATTCCATGCAAAAGTCACAAATGGGTGATTTACATAGTAAATACCATTTTCAGTGCAGGAAAAAAGCATTTTCTGCTGTTTAAGTGCATTAAATGCTCTTTCCTGCAAAATTTATGCTTATTATTTGTGAAAAATAGATAGGACTCAGTACTCTGAATAGTTCCTTTATATTTTGGACTAAAACCCACAGTAGATTTAGTATTCTACTGACACAGAATCCAGCAGCCTCTAGTGTGAGAGCTGTTCATGTAAGGCATTCTTAGGAATGTTTTATTAGACTGTGCCTTCTAAATGCACCCCTTTGGAGTTCTGTCGAACATCTTAGGGACAGGCAGAGACCAGGGCTTTCCATTGTGCTCATAGTCTCACTTAAATACTCAAACTGGGTTATGGATAGGCAGTTATGAACTCATCCAGTACACCCAGCCATTAGGTCTGGTTCTGAATTAAGAAGAGCCCTGGTGGCACAGTGGTTAAATGCCTGTACTGCAGCCACGCACTCATAAACCACAAGGTTGCAAAGTTCAGTACTAGCCAGGGCTCAGGCTTGACTCAGGCCTGCATCCTTCCGAGGTCTCTAAAATGAGTACCCAGCTGTTAGGGGGCAATGAGCTTACAGTTGTAAACTGCTTAGACACTCCATATCATGGTATGAAGTGGTATATAAATGAAGCTGCTTTGAATTAAATCAGGGGTAGGCAACCTTTCCCCTTTAAGGGTCGAGCAACTTCAGCTCTCAGAATCCCAGGAGCTATTGGCCAACATGGGACTATTGGCCAATATGGCTGAGGCTTCTGGGAGCTGAAGTCCTTTGGCTCTTAAAGGGGAAAGGTTGCCTACCCCTGAATTAAATGTTCATATGTGTTTTTTATTTTCATGTATAAGACAGAGGTAAGCAATGATTCCCATAACACAGTATGACTAAGGGAACTTTGTTCCAAATCAGATAGTATAACAGAACTAGATAGTGCATTTGTAGAGTAGTTCCCATTTATATGGATGGGGCTTTTCAGAAAACATGCCTAGGAACATGCTCTTTGAATGATTCATAACCAAGATGTGCTTAACTGTAATGGCAAATATCCAAGACTTTCCAAATGTGTTATGAATCTATTTGGCTGAATGATGCAGCTAAAAATGGCCCTATATGAATAAATAACCATTGCAAACAGGCTGCCTTTAGGTTGGCATCATTCCTGTTTTACGCAAGAATTACATTAAGACAAAAGGCAGAATTATGTGTTTCTACATGATAAGCACCAATTTTATTATTATAAATAAATAGACAACATAGGACCTGGTCATAGGGAGAGGAAAAACCTCTGTTTTTCCCCAAATTGGGGAGAATCCTTGCTGTCCACATAGCCCATTCCCAAGGTGAGCCAAACATTCACAGGCAGTCTGCACCACGTAATGTCAAGCCATGCCACCTGTTGTTCTTTCCTCCTCCCCACCATGCATGTGCACCATTTCACAAACACATCACTTGTGACCACCAGTTACCTCCCTCTTCATGCTCAGCTGCCATCCCATTGGATGGCTCATCTGACCAGCCACAGAATTACACTAGCAATACACCATATTATGTATTAAGGGGATCTGATGTGTTTTTCATACTTTCACATCATAAGGTGTGTGACAGTTTGATGGTGTGATGGATTGATGGAGTAGCTGGCCATTTGTATACCTGTATGCTCAAATAAAACAAAAAACCCTATGATGAGCTGTGTCTCACCAGTCCCAGGGTGCATGCTCCAGACCGCTTCCATACACTGCTTGGGCTTTCCTGCATTTCTGCACTTGTGTTGTGGTGTTTATATGTTGATGCAGTGATGCACACCTTCCACATTAGAACGGAGTATATGGTCTTCTTTTTGCTCCATTTTTTAGCCCCAGAGCATGGATTTGGTCCCAGTTTTGTCCTCATGTGTTCAGCCCTGGTGGCGCAGTGGTTAAATGCCTGTACTGCAGCCACTCACTCATAGACCACAAGGTTGTGAGTTCAATACCAGCCAGGGCTGAGGCTCGACTCAGGCCTGCATCCTTCCGAGGTCGCTAAAATGAGTACCCAGATTGTTGGGGGGCAATCAGCTCACAGTTGTAAACTGCTTAGACATTCCATAGCGTGATATGAAGCGGTATATAAACAAGCTGCTTTTAAACAGATGTCTCAAAACAGGGTGAAACTGCTTTATTTTACCAGTGCAGACAACTCCTAAGATTAGCCAAGAATATTTTTTAAAAACTACCACATTTGATTGTGATAGGAATTGTGTTTGCTTAGTTTGCTTGGAAACTTGCCAAAATATGTCATCATCTTTAGAAACAGTTTGGAAATAACGAGGATTTAAAAAACAACAGCATGACAGATAACATGGAAGATTGAGCTATCCCTAGGGTAACCATGGGTTTGCTTTCTTTTACATTCTATTAGCCTTGTGGTTTTGTTCTGCCATGGTGGAAAAATAAACAATTGCACAATAATCAAAATATCAGTGATACCATGGACTTTTGACTATCCTTATACATTGCTTTTTGCTATGTGCCTTCAAGTCAACTCTGACTTACAGTAACCCTCATATATGATTTTTCTGGCAAGACTTATTCAGAGGAAGTTTGTCATTTGCCCGGAGTCACTCAATGGGTTTGCATGTCTTATTGGGGATTTGAATCCTGGTCTCTTAGAGTCCTAGTCCAACACTCCAGCCTCTACACCCCCCTTAGATAAAGGGTGGAGGTTGTTTCAGTCTGTCTAGACTGGCAGATTAAAGGGCTTCCACCAGCCTACTGACCCTGTTTGTAAAAGTGAAGCAGAACTCTCATTTCAGTACAAATAATATACTTGGGACTTGAGTCCTGCACAAGGAGAAAGGTGGGATATAAATCAAATAAATAAATTTGGTGTAAGTTCCAGCAGAGCAATTATTGAGGCTAGGTCCTTTCCTTGCCTAATCCTCACATTGTGAATAGTTCCCCCTTCACTCTTACTGACTTTCCTTCAAACTCCATCTCCCTGCT